TAACTGTTGACCGTAAACGCTGGTAAGACAGATATCAGTAGGTCTAACTTACCATTGTGGTGAGAGGAACGTACCTGCTATTCTTTATAAAACGTTAAAGAGATAACAGTAGCACACGCCTCCGTATCTATGTTTAAGAACAGGGTGGTGTTATCTATACTCACCAGTACTGTCAAAACTTCCACCTTATTTGACGCAGCGATCAACGATGCTGTCATGGAAGCGTTGTTTGTTTTGTTTACATGTGAACTTACCCTTTGTCTTGCTCGATAGGGCGCTGCTCTTCCCCCGCAGGTTTGGTGAACTTGCCAGATGGGCGACAGTATTCCTTTCTATTGCTTTCTATAGCCTGCCTGTACTGATGGAGATTGTGACACTCCTCTGTATCATGCCAGGCCGACTGATGTAACACACACACACACACCACTTGTCACCTGTGGGTTCAGCAGTTTAATTTGTCAGGTCAACTGCTAAATATGACTTGGAAATATCTTTCTGATTCTACGGTTGATTTTTGACCTTTAGTATCTAGGTTTTATAGGGAGTTGTTTTTTCTTATGCTTCTTTGGTAACAACTGGCAGCAATTATCTAATTTATGTCCTCTTTTATGACATTATTTGTTTATGTTTCATGCCTGTATCTTTCTGAAGCTTATTGGGTGCAGGTGCGACCCGCTCAATAGTTTTGGCTACAGGCGTAATTAATCATTTATGCACAAGCTTACGTCCATAAGCTGTGAGCAAATCTGACCCTTTGTAGTCTGCGTGTTGTGCTTGATATTATTCTTCGTCTTTCAAAAGAAATACGAGTTACATATACTCGACGAGACGAAATACATCATCCTTACTAATTTTATTTTCAGTGTCAAGTGTTCCTCCCGATAGAGCTTGTGCCATGTAGACATCTTGTGTTTGGGCCAACGAGATGATTCTATATACCATTTCGAAATAACGCGAAAAAGGTTAAAAGGAATTCTCTCTGTTCCCTTACCAAAGAAGCCTGTCAAATTATTTTTAAAGATCATATAATTTGTTCGAGTAAAACCCATAGCACTCATAAGTCGACTATCGCGACACCCTGGTTTAGTATGACAATGGACAAATGGTTTTCGATCTTTGTCGTCCATGACATTATTATGTCTCATAAAATCCTCACATCTACGGATGAAATTAAATATATTATAGTTGACATCATCCCCTGTGAAATTGCAAATATGTAATCATGCTGAGGCAAAATCTTCACTACATTGGTATTGCTAGCCATGGATAGTGGTTTGTTAGATGACTTAAACATTACTGGAAGATTAGTAAGTGAAGTTGAGTGTACTAACACACTGGGTGGGGATATAGGACCAGAATGACTTGCACCGTAGTGAGGTTTAGTGTCATAAGAGCGGCCCTGCCTAAAGGCGCCGGCCATACATGAGCCACATTGAGCAAGTATTGAATTGAATTGTATTGAATTGAATTGTAACAGTTTATTTAGCCAGAAAAATACAGATACAGAGTGGATAATAATAACAATATTAACATGGCTGAGCCAGTTGAGAACCTGAGCTCTCTTTGAGGCACCTGATATATACTATACGTCAATATTCTCAGCCATATGTCAGAATGAAAACGCGTGTTGGCGTGTATTGACATGTGGTCCGGAGAGAATGGAAATTGCAATATTGCCGGATTAGGAGCTGTTGTGGGCGTCAGTACAAGTCTGCGCCAGAAATAATGTGTGTGTGTGTGTGTGTGTGTGTGTGTGTGTGTGTGTGTGTGCTGAGTTTTGTGTTCTCACATTATAACTAGTTACAGTTACTCTATGCCGTGGAATAATGAAAAAACTACAGACTTTAATAACAGTATTCAGTGCCATCCTGAAATAAGGGATTTTGGTCATCCCAAGTATAGTGACCGTAATATAAAGAGAGACATCTGGAATAAAATTGCACGCGAATATGGCATCACTTTGGAGAGAGAGAGCACAAAGCAAGTTTAATAGTCTGAGAACATATGCAACACTAGCTTTTGATACTCGAAACAGGTACATCAAGCTTTTATACGAATCTCCAACGACAAGAAACCTTAATGTGATGGCTAGTTTAGTTTTCACAGGAATTACTGCTCCAATATTTGTAGCCATTTTCTGTAGTTTTGGACCAATTTTTACTCAGCACCTCAAAGTCACTCTGAGACATTCTTATAATATTTTGAAATGAATACTTGTCTAATTGTACTTCTCCACATGGAGCTGCATTTGAAGATCGCTTTTCCAGATATGGTCTAGCCCACATTCATCTCTTCTTCCTGTGTTATTTATGAATTATAAGCGGCAGCTGCAATTCCAAGATCCATTTTCGAGACCAGAGCCTTCACAGGTTCTCCTGGAGACAGTTGCTTACTCACTGGCTCGTGTAAACGGAGTGGCCTTGTTGCTTCAAATTGCTCAACATTGACGACAACATTGCAACAATCATGGTCTTGGCAATATCTTCTTTGTCACTATTTCCAACGGCGATGTTGCCCAATGTTGTAAATCGTCTTTCACTATCTTCAAGTGAAGTGTCTATTTGGAAATTAGTTTGTGATTCACGCACCTCCTCGGATTCACCAAATATCAAGCACTGTCGTAGACCACTGTGTCAAGTGTCTCACTATCAAAGTCATACACTAACTGTTCAACTCGTTGTTCACTTTAATTGAATAAATCCATGTCTTGAAGCAAATTAAAATATTAATTATAAATTTTTCAACCCATGTAGTACTTTAATTGAATATTACTCAAACCGCATTTCATGGGACATGCGATGTAGTAGAGAGCGAGAGAGGGAGAGAAAAAGAGAGAGAGGAGTGTTGTTTGAAGTGAGTGACTTGTCAACACCGTGTCCATTAGCGCTCAGATAAGGGTCTGGCGTCCAGGTGTGTATTGAACATTCGAGGGTCAGTGTGTGTGGTACAGTGAGCAGACTAGGTTACCTATTACTCTACCCGGAGATGACTTCTAACTATTATCAGGCAACTGTGCATCAGAGACCTAACTCAAACAGTCGGTGATAGCGGAAACCACAGAATTCAGTGTACTCACACATGTTATACCAACAGACCCGTCACAAGTGAGTGTTGTACAATTGTATTATTGTATTCAGAATTAAGCCAACTTGGGAAGTTAATCACTTGATTGTTATTGTCGCTGGATGTTAGTTAAATATAATGGATACTGTTTGTGTGTTTGGTACATGTAACTGATAGTGGGACATGTATTTCCAGGTATGGCCGAATAAACATTGTCGTGTACTACTGGACGGATCTCATTACCCCCCATTCTCACCCCAGTCTGGCCGTGAGCGGCTTTAGTTACTATATGTTAAATAACCCTTAACTGTTTCCCTAGGTATTACTTAGGTATTACTCAATGCAAGGCACTATTGACTATTCTATAACTTATCAAGACGTCTACCGGGTGATCGTATGTTGTAGTATATTACATAACGTGTATTTAAAAACTAATGATTGTTTGAGAAATAACTAAGTTGCTATAGGCATGATAGAAGTTTTGTTTATGTTTATGTTTCTGTAAAGGCTGTTGATAGATGACGTAATTGAAAATGGCAGCTGATTGTGACGTATGAAGATGGAGTCGATGATGGCGTAATTCGATGACGTCACTGCTACAGTATTGTTCCTCTTGTCGCTGAAATGTGTGGTTGTTTCAGGATCACACAGACACACACACATGTACACTTATTTGTAAATGCAGTCACCTCAGTTAAGCTGAAGTCATATGAGCTGGTAAGTTTCTTGAAGATCTACTGTCTGGGTCCTGTTAGCTGGGTTCTGCTGGGTCACACACTGGGTCTGCTTGGTCACAACAGTAGGAGCCCCGGCTATAAATGATGCCTGTTGATGCTGACGTGTTTGTCAACACTTGTCTGATGATGATCGTGATTTGCACCTGGGAGTCTATGGCTCGCTGGGGCTCATTTGCTGGGGTTCACTCTCTCACTCGTCGGAAGATTACCTGTTGATGCAAGGTATCAAAACATCTACCTGCAAGGAGGATGGATGCTGCTACAGCGTTTTGGCGATTTTTCACTTAAAAAGCCAAAGATTTTACTCGTACTTTTGTAATACAAGCTTTTGCATATCTTTCTCTCGTAATGTAACCTTAATATATTTTTTTCCACTTTTTGTTGTGTTTAGAGTTTTAAACATTCACTCGTAGGTATATTAGTTTTGAGTTTATATGTTCGTATCTTTACCGCTGTCATTTTAACGAACCAGGCGGTTATCACCTGGTAGCATCTGTAAACCCTGTAGTAACTTCGTAATTGTTTAAAAGTACTTAATGTTCACACAAAAACTATTTGGCTTTTTCTATTTATTCACTAAAATATATCAAATACGAGTCAACCGACAGATATTAACCGTGCTTTTACGAAAGAATATAGGAGGTAATTTACAGAGCTCCCTTTAACACGTCTGTTGCGTGCGAGATACAGGGTTTAAGTCCACTGCGGGTTGGGCACTTGATGAGGACCAGTGCAAATCAGATGTGTGTGGAGGACATGGAAATGTCATCCAACACATGAGAAGGTTTGCTTAGTTGCCGTTTATCTAGGTAATTCGGGTAGTGTTATTGACACAATACTACTGTATATGTGAATTGCCCGTATTTATATAATTACTGTACTATTGTCAATATGTTGACAGAGGCTATTACAAAGGCAATAAATAAAGAAATTGACTGATGAGATGAATCGTGTGGAGAGATGTAACAACGTATTTATATATTTATGTAAATTTCTCCGAGCTAAGAATATATGCTGGGTAACCGTACACCTGATGTTAGCTCATGCACTATGGGTCAATACGTTCCCTGTAGATGTATGTAAGAAATGTTTCTAGGAGAACAATATTTGCCCAAGTTACACACTATAATTTCCTGATTTTATCGAATCATTCAGAAAACCACATATACAATACTCGATGGGTCTTTAGAGTGTACTTACTTGGAGAATTTTTCAGGAAAAAGTGGAAGATGTCCACCGAATTTTAAGTCTTGTTGCTGAGTCCACGAAGCAACTTGCATCAGTTGTGTATCGTGTTGCAGAAATGGTAATTTGATAATTATACTACATCTGCAATTGTGTAATATTGTGTTAAATATCGCGAGTATTGTACAATGAAATTATATGAGTTATTATACATGTTCATTTACTGAGGACGAACGCAAGAAAACCGTCTCAATCTTAATGCTAAGAATCATTCAAAAGAAACTTTAATTGAGAATAAACTTATTACCTTATTGGTCGTGAGTTGTTTTCCACTATCAACAACATGGAGTTGGTCATGGAGAGTAACTTGTGTAGGTGGTGGAGCTCCGGGAGGGACAGGCGGGTGACGGCGAGGAGCCTCGTCGACCACACCAGGAGGCGGCCCTTGAGGGACCACTCGGCGAAGGCGGCGAGGAAGGCTGGGTCGTCGCTCACCACCACCATCGTCACGCACCATGACACCTGCCGCAGCTGTTGACGTGAACATGGTAGAAGCTAAGTGAGAGTGGCTTACCCGCCTCAGTAGTAATGTGAGAGTGACCTACCCGCCTTAGTAGTAAATTGAGAGTGACCTACCTGTCTCAGTAGTAAAGTGAGAGTGACCTACCCGCCGAGCCTTGTCGACCACCCAGGAGAGCTGCGCCTGCGTCACGTTAGCGTCCTGGCCGTCCACTGCTACCTCGAACACCCCCACACCCCAGGGGGCCACCAGCTGACCCAAATCCTGGAAAATCGAATTATAAATATATCTTCCTTTGTTAATTGTAGATGTACACTCGCAACAAAAAGTATCGGTGTATACTGTATTGTGAACAATTTAAGGCCAGTGACGATAGGTATTGGGAAAGGTGAGTTGTTCCAGCCGCATGTTGGCAACCTTGGTCAAATGAAACAAACCGTTATAAATAAGGTCGGGAAGCGATAAATAGACAGTATGAAATATGAGGAGGTCCCTGTTAACAATATTATTTGTGATACTTGTGAATATTGCCACATTAATTTATGCTACCATATAAACCACTCAACCTGGTCGTCCTGAGGGGTGGTGCGGCGTGGACGGCAGCTCCGAGACCTGTCGTCTGCAGCACCACTTTCGAGGTATCGCCGAATCCATCGTGCAGCGGTGTTCCTGTGGACACTAACCCGCCGGCTAATATCTGTGACGCCGAACCCTTCGTTATGAAGGGCAATAATAGCTCCTCATGTTCCGTCTGAGGTTTCCGTGTCGTCTGGCATGTGTAGATCTCTACTGCTTCATATTGCCTCTGTTTTATACCCACGTTCACCGAGACCGAACCCTCGCTCATCATTCAGTCGACACAATGCAACAATCAGAAAAGAGGAAACAAACACACTGATTTATAATTATCAGCCATATGACAACACCTAGTGGAGGGGGGGGGGGGTTATGAGGATACACTTACCAAACTTCCCGACATATCACAGTGTATACTATCGTTTCGGAAATCGTTGATCTCACCCTGCACCGATACTTTTTGGTGCAAGTGTACATGTCTGCAAAATTTAAGCATATCATGGGGCAACACAATTTATTGCAAAAACACTACATGAATACTTTCGTGGGTTTTTTTTCCCTGTCAAGGAACACATATGACTTTCAGATTGCAAACTTCCACTAAAACCTTCGATTTAATATCATTGACTTATCAAACCACAGGACCAGGCATCTGGGTCAGGAATCACTCACCGCAGATCTATGTATAATTTCCACTTTTTTTTCTGGTTGTTTGTGAAATAGTTGTGTTATTCTGACAAACTCCTGGGATATATTTGTGACATCTAGCCCTAGCTTACACTGCATTCTCGGGGAAATATGAACCTGGAGTTAATGGATGTTGCTAGCACAGAGGGATAACTAATCTTACATCAGAATGACCTACTCTGAGGACAGTGGTGGACGACGTGGTGCCGTCAGTGAGTAGCAGGACGGAACAGTTTTGCCGAGACACTCTTGACAACACAGCGTCCACCGCCCCACTCGCTAATGACAACAGTTCAGGGTCTTCTGTTGGAAAGAGGAATTGTATCTACATATATAGGTTTCAGTATTAACAAAGAACATCAAAACAAAATAATCCTAACATTTCATTCTCAAGTCCTTGTAACACACCTTAGGATAAGATCTTTTCCATCACTATAATGTAAACTACATCAACATTACCTTAACTTACATTGATCATTTAGCTTACGTTATTCTAGAAGTAAAGTGATGTAAAGAAAAGAAAAGAAAGCCAGTTATAATTTTTTATCTACTTATGTCGCTATAATGAGCTGGTTTTAATAATTAGTCATGTCTTAATCTCAGTGTCAAAAATAATGTAGCTATATTTTCTTTCAAGACCAATTTTATTATCGTTGAAACGAAAAAGATGGCTCACAAGAGAATACAGGAAACCGTTATAGTTACCGTCTTGTTAATGATCTGATTTTATTTACCGTTAAAGCTGTAAACAAAATTAAAGTTCCATACGTAATTATGTACATAACACTTGAAAAACCATATTAAATGTTACTATGCAAGTAAATCCAGGTATATGCTGATAACCACAAGTAGAAAAGAGAAACACGAAGTTCCCAAGCGCTTTCGTGTGATTCACATCTTCAGGGGTGAGTACAGACTAAGGAGAAATACATAACAAAGCATATATATATATATATATATATATATATATATATATATATATATATATACAGTAGAGGAGAGTGAGATCAATTCACAGTATGGTCGGCAGGGCCAATTTACCTACTTGTGGGCCCTAGGCCAAATTCATCAGTGGGCCCAAATTTATAGAAATATTTGCATGTTTCAATAATCAATATATATATATATATATATATATATATATATATATATATATATATATATATATATATATATATATATATATATATATATATATATATATATATATATATATATATTCAGAAATTTCAGAGTAATTTCAAATGCCCCGCCATGAGTGATACTGAGCGTTCAAGGTCATCTGAGGGGAGGGAGCGCTTTGCCTGCTCGTAGCGAGAGACTGCGGAACTAGGCCTATATGATATTAAATGTAATTTACCGAATTAATAATGATGCGATTCATGAAGTTAAGGGACTATTATTGAATTTGAAATTATTATAGATCGTTTAGCAGTCTGAATAATGTTACGGGTGTCCCAAGGAGTTATTAGTTAGGCGGAAAATATATCACGTAGGCCCAAGCTAGCGCCTTGGGGAGACGCGACGCTGGCTAGGCCCAGTCCCGGAGAGCACTCACACAGACAAGACGTTCCGCGCGTCCATCAGAAATAGTCACGTGGCCTAGTCACCTGTGCTGCGCTATTGCAGTATAACAAGTAAGTCTCATTCGATCTCAGACAGGGTTAGATAGGGGCGGTGTAAAAAACTAGAGCTAATGTGAGTTCATTTTCAGGGTTTCCGTCAGAACCCGCCAATTGGAGTTGACCGAGTTGACTGGCCTGGTTGATGATTGAGGGTGGCGATTGTCGCCATTGGACCGATCAGTGTAGGCCTGTCACTGTTTAGCGGGGTAGCAAAGGATCTCTTGAGTGAACGAGTGCTCCCGACAACTAAAACGACACGGGACCAGCATCGGCAGTGGGTGATCAGTTCTTACCACTCCGGTGCACAACACCACGTGTCCTCGGTCAGCTAGTGAAACCCTCTTGCTAACGGGAAGCTAAAGTTTCTCTCAACTGCACAAGGTCTGATTGGCTCACTCTCTTCCTGCCCATGGACGCACTGGGAGTACACTGAGGCTATCTGAGTATATTAATGGTCACACACTGAGACCGTGAGTCTAGGACTCTAGGAGATACCTAGAGGAACATTTTATCTTCATTATTACGGGTGTAGTTAACACCACTCCTCAGACTGATATTATCTTGACGTGTGTAGTTAATATTTCTTAAATAATTTTGATAATATTGTTTTGAATGTTTGTGCCATTAAGTGGAACCAGAGTGATACTGTGATTGATTCTTTTAATGCATCTGATTGTTCTTCATAATTCTGATCTCAGGTATAACCTTGTTCCCCAGAGTAGTGGTTAAGTTAGGTTAGGAAGTGTGCATCTGTTGGGGTGCTATAATTTTGTTGAGTGCCCTTAAGGCCTATTCATTGTAGAGTATTTAATTTCTTAAATTTTATTACCATTTCCTCAGTGACTGATATTATCTTGTTGAGTGCCCTTAAGGCCTATTCATTGTAGAGTATTTAATTTCTTAAATTTTATTACCATTTCCTCAGTGACTGATATTATCTTGCTGAAAGCCCTTAAGGCCTATTCATTGTAGAGTATTTAATTTCTTATCTTTTATTACCATTCCTCAGTGACTGATATTATTTTGTTGAAGACCCTTAAGGCCTATTCATTGTGGAGTATTTAATTTCTTATTTTTTAGTACCATTTCCTAAGTGACTGATATTATTTTGTGAAAGCCTTAAGGCCTGTTCATGTGTGCGAGCAACATTTCTTAATACTTCAAATTTATTGTTGCCTGTGTTTCTAATAATTTCTATGTCATGTATAACTTTTATTCCCCAGAGTAGTGTTTAAAGTTTAAGTTAAGAGGTGCGCATATTGGTGTACCATTATTTGATTGTGTTTGTAGTGTTGGAGGGAATATAAGTGTACCTAAAATTTTACAGTGTGTCTCATTCATCCCAGTCACAGACGCTATCCTTCCACGGGTCACGGACAGTTCATTTTGTGTAGTAGATTTAAGTGTTCTTGTGCTGGTTCGGGATTTTTCTCAAAGGGGCGCTTCCACTGCCTTTACCATCTATTAAATTTTAATAAACCCCAAGTCAAGTGAGAAATTAAAGTCCAGCAAATTCCGACCGGTACACATATATATATATATATATATATATATATATATATATATATATATATATATATATATATATCTCAGTTATTTTGCAATGGCCAAATGTCGTCAAATATTACATAATATCATAATATTATAATGTAAGAAATAAGAATTTCAACACAATGTGACACATCATTACTTATATATATATATATATCATTACATATATATATATATATATATATATATATATATATATATATATATATATATATATATATATATATATATATATATATATATATATATATATATATATATATATACAATCAACACCTCAACCCTCCAGGATTAGAACCCACGGCCCACGACCCCATGACTGTCATCCACGTATATGCTGGTAACCACAAGAAAACACGAAGTTCCCAAGCGCTTTCGTGCAATTCACATCTTCAGGGGTGAGTACAGACTAAGGAGTAATACTTGACAAGGCTAATATATAGAGTAGAGGAGAGTGAGATCAAGTCCCTAGGGGACAGCAGGTATCCACAATGTTCCGGTCATAAGGCAGTGGCCCTTACTAATCTTCTTAATCAAAAACATTGACCATGCCATCTCTATGCACAGCAGCTGTCCGTAGTCAGGTCATAGGGTAAGATGACACAACCTTCTCACCTGGTTAGTAATCTTATTAATCGCAACATTATCCAGTTTGTACATACCATTACTCAGTCCCCAGTAGGAACGCATGAGGTCACAGGTGACAACAATTGATCATGACTATAATATATTAACTCGTACACTACGTAAAGCACAAGAACAAAGTATACCATACAAAAATATTAGGTCAAATAACAATGAGCCAGGTGGATGGTCAGAAAACTTAAACATGACATAGGAATAAAGAAAGGAATATATAAGAAATTAAAGGGAGGGGAGGATCAGCTCAGAAATAGGTATAATGAACTATCTAGGAATGTTAAGAAAAATGTACGGAAGGCAAAAGGGGACTACAATATCAGGAGATCAAGAGAATCCAACGCGAATCCCAGGGGATTTTTCCAGTTATATAGGACAAAGTTCAAAGACAAAGTTGGGCCTTTAAAGTCAGGGAGGGGAGAAGTGATAAATGGCAGTGACGAAATAAGCAAAGCATTGAACAGCTACTTCTTATCAGTTTCACAGAAGAAATTCGCAATGAAATTCCAGAGGTGGAACTGATATTTAAGGGAAAGGAAGAAAAGAAATTAAAGAATATCACTATCAGAAAAGAGGATGTTCTTAAGAAGATATATAAACTAAAGAAAACAAAATCCCAAGGGCCGGATGAAATTTTCCCTCGAGTCTTGAAAGAGTGTAGGGAACAGATTAGCGGACCCCTCGTAAACTTATTTACAAAATCGTTAGACACTGGAGTTGTGCCAGACTTGTGGAAACAGGCAAATGTAGTACCCATATTCAAAAAGGGAGACAGAGCATCAGCGTCAAATTACCGGCCGATCAGTTTGACGTCAGTAGTGGGGAAATTTCTTGAATCAATTATAGCAGATAGCATCCGATGGCATCTAGAGAAAAGCAAATTAATCTACGACTCTCAACATGGGTTTACAAAGGGAAAATCTTGTCTAACAAATCTGCTAACGTTTTTTATGAAAGTCTTCGAGGTAATAGATAATGACGAAAATTACGATGTTATTTACTTAGACTTTAGCAAAGCATTTGACAGAGTACCGCATCAGAGGCTTCTGAGAAAAATTAAGGCTCATGGTATCGAGGGGAAAGTTTTAAATTGGATAAAATCATGGCTCACCGACAGAACGCAGAGAGTCAGCGTAGATGGTGTTAAATCTGAGTGGGGCCGTATAACCAGTGGAGTTCCCAAGGGGTCAGTACTAGGCCCACTTTTGTTCATAATCTACATAAACGATCTAGATACTGGGATCAGCAGTGACATAAGCAAGTTTGAGGATGACACCAAAATAGGGCGGCAAATTAATTCAGGGCAGGATGCAAATGCATTACAGGAGGATCTAAATAAACTGCAGGGGTGGTCTGAAATGTGGCAAATGAAATTCAACACCAGCAAGTGCAGCGTACTTAATATTGGAAGAACAAATACTTATAATGTATACAGCCTTAACAACATCAACCTCGAGAAGTCGACTTGTGAAAGAGACCTAGGGGTAC